TCCTCGGCCTTTGTTGAATTTCAGTTGTATTTCTTTTTCTCGTTTTTTTTCTGCATGCGCTGCCTCTAATCATGAATGCCCTTTCCGTGTGCTCGGGCTGACCCCCGATGCCTCTGCTGCTGAATTGCGGCTTCGTTATCTGCAGCTAGCAAAGCAGCTGCATCCTGACGCCTCTCCTCTTCCTTTTGGAGGCTCAAGGGCCTCTGATTTCGTTGAAATTAGGAGAGCGTACGAGAAAGCAAAGCAGCTTCAGCAGCAGCAGCAGCAGCAGCAGCAGGTGCGGTCTACAGACAGCGCACAGAAGCCAGGATCAACGGCCCCTGCTGCTGCACCTCAGCAGCCGCATACTTCACCGCAAGAAATGAAGACAAGACGCCAGTGGGAGGAGCAGCAAAGGGAAAGAGCCCGCTTTTGGGCCGATGCTGAAAGAGATAAAAACCAAACAAATACAGTGGGGGGGAAGGACGCCTCCCCCTACCAGCAGGAAATTCTCAGGCGCTTTCAGAACAAAGTTGAGGAGGAGCAGAGAAAGAGAGAAAAAGAAAAAGGAAAAAACACACAACAAACTGTTGATGCTGCTACTATTGAGAGGGAGATTGCAGCACACGAAGAGGCAACAGTGAAGGCGTGGAAAGAATTCAAAGAGGAAATGCGGGCCTTCGGCTTCAACACAACCGACAGCAGCAGCAGCAGCAGCAGCAGCAGCAGCAGCAGCAGCAGCAGCGCAGAGGCGAAATACAAAAGACGAGGGACAGACGTGTATGGATACAAAATGTGGATCTCAAGAGAAGGAAGCAACAAACAGAAGATGCGAAAACTAAAACTAAAAATAGAAAGGTATGGGCTAGAAGCAGCAGCTGCTGCGGCTCTGGCGGTAGGAGCAGCAGCAATAGTGAAGCATTATAAAAGAGAAAAAGAGAAAAGAAAAGAAACAGAGAAGGGGGCTGTTTATAACAAACAACCACATGCGTAATTCATATATATGACGACGACAAGGTTGGTGCTGCAAGCTGTCTTTGTTTCATTTGTATATATCAGTTTAAATGAAATAAAAACTGAGACGAAACTGGGGAAAGAGAGACAGACCCTGAGGTGTATAGACAGCCCTTCAACAGCTGCTGTCTCTCTCTTTTTCTCTCCCTCTCTCTCTACCTCTATTTCATTTTTTGTGTTTGCACAAGCACTTAACTCTATTTGAAACAGCAAAGAGGTTTCAGCTGCTTTGGCTGCAAGTGAAGGTCTCATAGAGACCCTTATTATGTTTAAATGAGCTGTACATACACCCAAAACTAGAACTAAAATTAGGGTTTAGGGTTTAGGGTTTAGGGTTTAGGTAGTGAAAGTTTTTTATTTGTTAAAAGTTTTCCAATAAAAAATAAATAAATGAAAATATAAATGTTTAAAAGGCGATTCAGTCCGTTGTCTCAGGTGTATGTACACCCAAGATAACTCATTGTATTTCTT